GCGTCGGAGAGATAGAGCTAGGAAGGCGAAGGGTTTCGAAAGGATGTGTTAGGGTTGCGGGTCGATGGGGGAAAAATGGAGTGGGAAGTTCGTGGACGTGGGCTATGAATGATACGAGCTCGATCAAAAGGACGCTGAATGTACTTGTAACACTTGTTGGCTGGGATATTGATCCGTACTTGTTAGTGGCTTTCGACGTGTGGAACCTGTGCTTTGATAGGCGGTGGATTGTGAGGATGGTAATGGTTTGTGGAAGGTTGTAATGTTGATTGATGGAATCGAATGACGCGATGAGAAGGAGTTGTATTGAATTGGGTTAAGAAAAGTGAATGGGTAAGGAAACGTTGTTAATGGTTGGTAATGAATAATGAATAATGCTGTTTATTAATGTTAATGATCGTTAAAGCTACTTGGTATCGCAGTTGGTAATGTTAATATTGTGAAGGAACGAATTGTATTGAATTGGGTTAAGAAAAGTGAATGGGTAAGGAAACGTTGTTAATGGTTGGTAATGAATAATGAATGATGCTGTTTATTAATGTTAATGATCGTTAAAGCTACTTGGTATCAGAGTAATGTTAATATTGTGAAGGAACGAATTGTATTGAATTGGGTTAAGAAAAGTGGATACGGAAATATTGTTAATGGTTAGTAATGAATAATGCTGTTTATCAATGTTAATGATTATCAATAGCTACCTGGTATCACAATTAGTAACGTTAATATTGTGAATCAATGAATTGTATTGAATTGTGTTAAGAAAAGTGGATAGGGAAATGTTGTTAATGGTTAGTAATGAATAATGAATGATGCTATTTATCAATGTTAATGATTATTAATAGCTACCTGGTATCACAGTTACTAATGTCAATAATTCACTAATATTACAATTACCAATATAAATAGTTAATAACGACTATTACCGATACTGTAATATTAATACTCGTTCAATCCAATAACATTTCACGAACTTCGAGAAATATTAGCTAGACTATTATCCACTCTCGAATCGTTTCCAAGCAACCCGGAAGAGCCGGTCATTGGTGTTCCCGGTAGTCAACGCGTTAACGCGTGCTCCCAACACACCGCGAAAATGGGACGGCCGCGTTTTCCAACCGGGACGATCCGAGGATCTGTTGATGACGCTTGACACGTTGGAAACGCGCGCATGACGCTCTCTCTCTCTCTCTCTCTATCTCTCAACCAGCGTTCGTTTTTACGACACGACAGATGGAAAAAAAGTAATAATAAAAGAGAAGAATCGGACGAGCGTGTTTAAAGCCGTGACGATCACATGTTGACATTACATCTCGTTGCTGTTGCACGGATTCGACAGCGCGTTCCGCTGCGTTAATACGAACTGCGTGGATGCGTGCTATCGTTGTTTGCGTTTCGAAGATGCGCCGTTTCCATTTATGTATTTTGTATTTCCCCGATGCACGCGCGAACGCGAGGCGAGACCGTGATCCCGCGAATCGAACGAGCCCGCATAAATTTCAGTCGAACCGAGGGCTCGGACGCGAATCGAATTAAACTTCAATTTTCGGGAACGCCGCGATTTCGCGATTGGATTTCGATTGAAATTAGAGTGAAAGAGGGCTCGCGAGCATCGTTACTAATAGCCGCGGGGCGTGCGAGGACGCGAGTCCATAAAGTCGGTCCGGCGAGCCTAATTTTACGGAAATGTTTTCCCCGTGAACCGGGCTCTCTATGCGGTGGCTGTTTATCCCGAAATTTCGATACGCGAGGAGTCGCCCATTCGCCGGTATTACCGGAATACGAGAAGTTCGGGAACGGGGGATATGAAAATGGGGAATGCTAAATGAGCATGCTCTAAAAAGGGGAACACCGGAATGGAGGATTCGAAGAACATTCCCGAAATGGGAAGATGGAACGGATGAATTTCGGAATGGAAACTATGAGGAGGATCGCGAGATGGGAGGAATGAAAATGAAAAATTCGAGAGTCGGAGAAAGAATTGGAAGTTCGAATATATCGGAACTGTGGGATTTCCTATAAACTTGCGAACGGTGAGCTGTGATTACCGTGCGAGAAGAAAGGCACTTTTCGCGTTCGTGAACGAGTGAATGAATAAATAATAATTATTATACGTAGACTGGCGGGGAAACGTGCGCGAAATTCGAGCTCATCGCGGAACGTTTATCGGATAGACGTTTTTCACGGGGGGTTAACGATACTCACGGTCGGATAAAATTTCGTGCGCGCGCATAGGAAGTCCACGTTCGGCCCGCGGGAAACGTGGAAAGAATGCAAATGCACGGGAACAAGATAATCGTGGGAGCGACGGTCATTTGCGGGTAATGCGTTTCGGTACTTCGTCTAATTCCTCTGCGCGCGCGTTTATCGCGGGCTGTTCCTGACCCGGAAGTTTCCAAGTTCCTCCGGGTCTCGTGTTTAACACGTTGGCAGCCGTTGACGCAGATACACGTCATTGTTTCTGTGTGCTTATTGAGAGCTGTGTACATTGCTTGGGACATTATTGTTGAGATCTTAGATTTTGAACCTGTGAATAAAGTATTCTAATATTGTTATTAATATTAAGTATTATAATATTATTATTTGGTTCTTAGATTCTGAACCTATGAATAAATAATAGCTACTACTTCTTCGTTTTAGTAATTAATGATACGATTATTGTGATACTAAATAATACTACTAATAATTAAATAATACTATCTAATACTAATGATTGTTAGTAGTATTAAGTATTATAATATTATTGTTCGGTTCTTAGATTCTGAACCTATGAATAAATAACAGCTACTACTACTTCGTTTCAGTAATCAATGATACGATTATCACGAAACTAAATAACACTAACACTAATATTAACATCATTACTTAAAACATTGTGATTTCGCTCGTAGATTTTCATCCCGAAAACAAAGTTTATTATTTCCTCCCCTTAATTATTGATTACACGGTCACTGCAATTCTAAATGATACTACCAATATTAACACGGTAAACACTACGATGTCATAGAACAGAGTACACAAAATGGAAAAGATACAATATTAAATTATTTAAATCATTTGACTGAACACCGCGTGAGGTAGCATTGTTTACAATATAGAAATGTTTTCAAATAATCATCGTTTTATTGAGCGAACTATAGTAATTCGATTTAGGAATCATCGGTGACCCCCATAGCATTCAACGTGTTAACATTGTTCCAATATTATCACTAAAACATTATTACTTCTCAAATTATAAACCTAAAAAGACCAAGTAAAAATTATTATTTCCTCTTTTCTGTAATCAGTATTAGCGACGCGATCATTTCAACGTAAAACGGTATGAGCATCACTCAGCGCCATCGATATCGCCCTAAGGCGTCCGACGCGATGGAATTTTCGGAAATCACTCGCGATATCCTTAATTTCCGTTCATTAAAATAGCCCGGAGTCCCAGCCGAGGGGTAGGGGACGCGAAATCTCGATTCTGCTCGTTGACCCGTGGTGCCGCGGGTCAGCCGAAAAATCCGTGCCCGTGGAAATGACCGAATTTACGGTGCCGATCATCGATAACGCGACGCGTCCCTGGCAAGCTTTCCCTTGATACGTGATAAATATGAGCGCGGATTAAACGAGGCGGGCGCACGACGGGAAATGATTTACATTAACGTTTAATACGTTCAACTTCGTCGTTCACGCCTCATCGTGACGCACGTATATCCGGCCGCCCCCCTAACCGATCGAAAAATTATTTTATCAAGCCAGCGAGTCATTAATTGCTGGCATTTATTATCTGCGCCGCCGATACTCTTTTGTTTCGAGTGTCTGACCGAACACCGGGACACTCCACTTGCATAATTAAAGGTTTTCGTGTACCCCTTTGTTCTCGCGAATGATTCGCTCTTATCCTTTGCAGCTTTGTTTATTCAAATGTTTCATTGTTTGTCGACTGTGTATTTTATTGCGTGGACTATTCTTGTTTTCTAGTTGGCTGTGTAATTTTATTTTACGTGATTTTCTTTAAGTGTATATTTTATTATTGAATTCTTATGTCAATGAAGTATTATTTTGTATTGTGCAATTTTACTGCATTTTTAATTACTTCGTTATATATTCGTACTGTAGTAGTTGCTGCACTGTCAATTACAATATTAACAATTAGAGTATTTTAATCATTTTAATTAATGACAGTTTCTGTAGTCCACTCAGTTATGAAACTTTCTAGACTACTTATACAATCTTCACAGAACTACCGTACCAGTCATAATGTTCCGAGTTTTTGTTTCGGAATTAATATCGTAGAAACTTTGAATATTCCAAAGAATCTCGAAAATAAATAGTTTTCCTTGAATACTATAGTAAATGTTTGAAGAAACTGAAAATAATACATTGTCGCAATTTTCATACGGATCACGTATTAATCGTATTAAATCGGTAGTTCTGTTGTTAAAGTAACTTTCACTTCGCTCATTCTCGCATAAACTGCCAACAGAATCATTCTTGACAGTAGCAACTCGAGAGTTTTCCGCTTTTATATTCAGGGTTCACAGGCGACTAAAGAAAAGCAGCGAAGGGCAGAATTTTCATTCCTGGCGATAACACCGGGAATGGAAATGCGCGTCGGCCATTATGGTCTACGGCAAACATTCTTTTTTTCTTCTTTGTTATTTGCAGGCAATTACTCGGGAATGGGACCCTCTACTTCCCGCCGTTCCTCGCGCAAGATTTTCGCGCTGAGGTACACAACGCGAGGTACAGATGCCGCGCGACCAGCTCCGTGGGAACAGTGCTGTCTCGCGAGGTCACGCTCCGTGCTGGTGAGTCGATGATAATGCACGTGCTAATACTAACCCTAAAATCACCGGATATCAAATTCTACGTTCTCTTTTGTTCATTAGAAATCATATCAATTCCTGTATTATCCGATTCATTGATTTCTCAATTTTCATCTATCCTTTTGTTTGTGTTTCCAGTAATAAAGATTTATCATGTAATTCACTTATCTCTATTTTGATGATAAAATGAAAATGTAAGTGCTGGTATGGCTAGTGTTAACAATACTTATATTTTCATTTCCAAATCACCGGATTTAAAAATCTGCGTTTTCTTTTGTTTATTAAATTTCATATCAAGTCATTGATTTCTCAATTTTCATCCTTCCTTTTGTTTGTGTTTCCAGCAAAAAAGATTTATCATGTAATTCACTTATCTCTATTTTGATGATAAAATGAAAATGTAAGTGCTGGTATGGCTAGTGTTAACAATACTTATATTTTCATTTTCAAATCACCGGATTTAAAAATCTGCGGTTTCTTTTGTTTATTAAATTTCATATCGATTCCTATATTGTTTGATTCATTGATTTCTCAATTTTCATTTTTCCTTTTGTTTGTGTTTCCAGCAAAAAAATATTTATCATGTAATTTGTTTATCTCTATTTTGCCAGTTATTTGACTAGCTACGGTAGGAAAAGTGCCGGTATGGTTAATGTTAACAATACTTATATTTCCATTTCCAACGTTGCAAAACGATCGAACGTGACCATTGTATCGCAACAACGCCGAATGAAACGAGGTAGAAAATAATCAGAAATAATCTTTAGGTGGAACGTGACACTGCATATCGAGTTCTCTAACGAAGATGGAACGCATCGAGTTAACTGTTTGCCAAGTGATTTTCAAATTTTTCTCTTCGCACCTCGATTGACTAAATAAGTATTAATTTTGAAATTTAACTTTTGAGTTAGTTAATTAAATTTATATTTACATCGAGAAACATTAATTTTACTATATAACTCTTAATTTACTTTATCCAATTGGTCTTTGTATTAATGAATATTAATTCGTATATTTAAATTTTTTTTTAGTTAATTCAATTCAATTTTTAAACAGAAAGTATCAATTTCATTTTATTTTTATTTTAATATTTCTTTTCAAAAACATCGCGGAACGCAATATTAATTGCGAGTGGCGCAATTATTATATTACAAATAGAATCCATACTAATTGGTGAAGTAGCCACGGAAATTAATAACCAATTTGTTTAAACGTAGCGTAAACCCCGGGAAATGAAGAATATGGGAATAATGAAAGTTACAGGATGTCCGGGTGGAACCTCGTTATGCCGGACACCCGGTATACAGCGTAGACAGAGTGCGTTCGCGTAGCTAGCGTAGGTCGTCACGTATTCCCCGGCGCACACGGACACAACTCTCATTATCGTATCCCGGCCCGGTACTCATTAATTACGATGCTTTTTTTCCCGTCCCCTTCCGCGACAGTGAGACGGAAACGGCCGCGCGACACTCTATGCCAACGATATACGGTATCGCAAAAGTAATTACGTCTTCAGCCTCGAACGAGAAACGCGTGTCTGGCAGTGGTCGTTAATAGAGATTTTCTACTTGGCCGTTTTTTTCTGAATATTTGAAAAATGTGACAGGTCGCCGCGAACCTCCTGCCTGGCCGGCAACGTTATATTCATTTCGCTGTCAACGCAAGGACGTTGCTTGAAAATTTTGTAAAAATTAAATAATGTATATTACGTGGCGAATGCAATTGTGCCTTCATTAACTTGGACCAACGAAATTGTATTGTATTATTCAGGGGCGTGGGAAGGCTCGCTTGGAAATTTACAAAGAATTCAACTTTTGCAGTAGGTCGTTTTCTGATTAGGCGTTAGTTGTTTCTAAATTTGGAAATTCGGAAGTTGTTGAGTTCCTGAGTTTCGAAGTTCTCAAGTTGCAAGATTTCAACTGTAAAGTTCCAAGTTCCAAGTTCCCAGTTCCAAGTTTTCAGGTTTCAAGTTTCAAGTTTCAAGCTTCAAGCTTCAAGCTGCAACGTTTTAAGTTTCAAAGTTTCAAGTTTTAAAGTTTTAGTTTCCAATTTACAAGTTCCAAGTTGCAAGTTCCAAGTTCCAAGTTTCCAGTTTCCAGTTCTCAGTTCAAAATTTTCAAGTTTCAAGTTTCAAGTTCCAAGTTTTCAGGTTTCAAGTTTCGAGTTTCAAGTTTCAAGTTTCAAGCTTCAAGCTGAAAGATTTCAAGTTTTAAAGTTTTAGGTTCCAATTTACAAGTTCCAAGTTTCCAGTTCCCAGTTCCAAGTTCCCAGTTCTAAGTTTTCAAGTTTCAAGTTTCACGTTTCAAGTCTCAAGTTTCACGTTTCAAGTTTCAAGTTCCATGTTCCCAAATCCCAGGTCCAAGCTTTCAAGTTTCAAGTTTCAAGTTTCAAGTTTCAAGTTTCCAGTTCCAAGTTTCAATATCAAATACCAATATTCCAGTATCAACTGTTCAAGTTTTAAAGTGCCCAACTTTCCAGCGTTGAATCTTCCAAGCCTTCAACCCTTCAAGTTTCCAAAATTCTAAATCTACCCAAGTTTTCCAAGCTTCTAAATTGTCAAGTCCTTAAATTCCTAACTTCCTACCTTCCCAAGTTTAATCATTTTCCCTCTGCTGTCTCTGAAATTAATCGCAGAAACCGTCGAAACCTTAATCCAGGAAAAGGATTGACCTTAAAAAATAGCTTTTAACTTAAAGTTAATTAAAAAATATCCATCGACATCTTTAGTAAAAATACTATCAAGTGTATTCCGTTTCTCCTTCATTTTCCGTTTGCGAGATAATAACTGAAAGCGGTCCGATCGAGGCTGTGGCGTGGCAAACGGTTGTGTCCACTGAGTTCGTCTTCTATTCCAGACTCGTTTCCGAAAATGTAACCAGAGACGCGTGATCGGTAAACACGGCACCTACTTACCGGGCCGCGTTGTCGCTAAACAAGCCGCAGGCGAGGCTCCTTGCCGCGGTTTTTGCGGCGTCGCCGCGGATCAATGTTTCGACCGCGCGGCGGAAGCGGTGTTGTTACCGTAAGTACTTCCGCCTGGGGGGAGGTAGGAATCGGGGGATATGATATTGGATCCTTACCGTCGGCCAAATAACTTGTTCGTTGATCAGACGCGAAAGCTACTTACCGTAATGAACCGAGTATTTAACTGTTTCGAAACGAAGCAGCTTCTGTTGCCCGGCTAACAGTCCGCACTCGAGCAGTTTGAAAGTCGTACAGTCGGCAAACGCGATAGTTCACTCGAATTCTTCTTCGTTCAAACAATTTTTTTTCGCTTCGTATTATTAGTACTATTGTAGTTTTCATTAAAATTTTTATTAGATGAATTCGGACGATTTAATTAATGAAATATGACAACTTTTATTATAGTTGAATATTTTAAACTAACTTGGTTCAATCATTTAACTATTTATTATAGTTCTTAATTTGATTGTAATGTTAACCCTTTAAATAAAATACCATTACTCATTATTTTGTGAATGGATCCCTCGTTAAGTTGGTTTAAAAGAATGTCATCTATATCTCATAAAAATAAATTGAATATTTCTAGCGACAAATGTTCGGAGTGCAAAAGGTTAAATTGATCTATTTTCACTTTCAGTGTTTCTGTTTAACTGCTACGTTCATTGATTTATTGTTTCATTGGATTATTACTGTAACAGTATTTCTGAGACGTAGTAATTGCACGTGTGAGACCATTGCCAGAAGTTTCCGTTGGCTCGCCGAATGCTATCGGAAATTAGCAAACAGAATCACGCGCGATTCCCGTCCGACCAAATACATGCTGTTCCTACTTGTCTGATCAAACAGCAGACTTCACTACTTGCTAACTGCATTGTTGCGTATGTCGGATGTCGGATTACACATTATACTGTGTTACTCGTCTGAGTGCTTGTCTTTGTTCCCCTTAATCGATTTCCATGTCTTGCATTTCGGATTTACATTCTTGGCCCGGTATATCATTGATTTTCACTGCTGCCACTAGGGATTTTCTTACCCGCGTTCGATCGTTATTTTTATCCCATTCTTTCGATTTCTATGCGAGTCACCGATATACCGTTGGTCTGGTTTATTTTACACATCCACTACTGACGTTATTTTGTTACTCGCTCCCATCAATCGTTACTTATTTTTATCCCATTTAATCGATTTCAGTGTCTTACATGATTGATTTATATTCCCCATCCAATACATTATTAATCTTCGCCACTGTCGCCCGGTATTTCGTTACTCGTAGCTCATCGATCGACGAATCTAACAAGTTTAAAGCGTCTCCGAGCCCGAACAGTCCTTTATACGGTATCAACGAAACTACCCACGTCTGTTACTTCTTTCCCGTCACGTTCGTCATCATTACATATTCATTGGCCGCGTAGTCGATCCAGAGAAAAAGGGCGCTCGAGAATTTATTTATCCTGCAATTCGATTTGCGGGCTCCGCAGCAGAAGAATGGGGACTTCGCATGAGCTGGATAAATATCAATTACAATTGAACGACGTCGGGACGATTCTCTGCTACATGCCTGACGAACCACTGACCTGTACTACTCGCAGTGAATTGCGCGAATTTATCGTTCAAATTCTCCCGTGACACGTGGAATAAACGTTTAATACATTTTCGACGAGAGTACGTTGCTTTGTGTTACTTACCCTGTGAAACATTGATTTGCACCACTGCCAATGGAACAACTGAACGAACTACTATAATATTATTGCGTTATACATATCACGTCTACTATTTTCAGTGAATCAAATCTCAGTTGAAAACTCGATCAAACCAAATATACTAATAAACAAACAGACATAATTTACATTTTGATCAAATTTCAAGGAATCAATCAACATAGTTCTCTCCAAAACACGAGCTATCTGCCAAAAACCCTCGTTTCTCTTCGACGCAGCGTATACATTGAAACGTACGAATGAACCGCGAGCAAACTAAAAGACAATAGTAAGTGTTAATGTGTAATATAGGTCAATGGA